TTGCTCAGATTACTAGATCAAACAGCCATTCTGAGAAATAACCGATCCTTCCCTGCAAAGTACTGCCTATCCAGCAAGACTAGCTCCTGCTTGTCTCAACACAAAGAGGCTAAAACTAGAGAACACAGGGCATGTATACATGTGCAACTAATGCAAAGCAATGAACTCTGGAGTTTGATGCCATTTGAACATACGCCCAAGAGCACAGCACACTGAGCCAGGTTGGAGCCGCCTCAGCTGGCAGGAGGCCCAGGCAGGGGTCAGCCTGCCAGCTCAGAGCTGCTCCCCTGGGCTCAACATGCTGTGGAGGGGCTGGCTGGGGCATGAGGGTGCTTCAGTGCAGGGCTAGTCAGCAGGCATCCCCTGCACTGAAGCACCCTCATGCCCCAACCAGCCAGGGCAGTGTTTACACATGCACTGCTTGAGGGTAAATTAATTTACTCCAGACTATTAGGGACACATGTGTAGATGCCCAGACATTTACTGCACAGCTAATTAGTCTACAGTGCAGTTAAATTTTCATGTAGATATCCCCCCCACCAATGTAGTTTAAGCTACTGCTTCTTCCCATGCAATACCGAAGGCCCACCCAAAAGGAAATACCATTGCAGTGATAACATGCAACTTTGTACATTCCTCCTGAATACAGGCAGAAATCTAAGCAAAATACATTAACCATATCTGACTTTGTATAGCCAAGTACACGGAAAAGAATGGGGCAGCAGAGTCCAACCAATTTCTTTCCTTGTTACAGGGGTGCCAAAGACTGCCAACAGGGCGTGAGTGATTTTGTTTGTTTGTTTTTGTATCTGCTTTTAGAGCTCAGTGGTACATGCTGACCAAGCACTCCCACTCACTTTCCCCCCACAACAGAGAGAGGTGGGTGGGAAGTATACAGTTTCAATTGTCACCTGCCACTATTCCCCAAAATGGTAGATCAGCATTCTCACCCCCAAGTTCTACTGGGAGTCTGGGCAGTAAGCTGTTTCCAAGGAGTGGAGAAATGCCACTAGTGAGATTCATTGAAATAGACATAAAAACCACAGTGAAATACAATACTCGAGATGTATTTTATAGGCAGGGAAACTAAGGCAGGGAGATGAAATAACTTGCCCATTGCCACCATCACAGGAAAAACTGGTGTTTGAACTCAAAGTTTCCTAGTTCGCAGTCTTATGCTCACATTCTTAAAAAATTTCTCTCTCAGAACAGGAAGAGGAAGTATATAGGTCTTGAATCCTTTATCGGAGCCATCCTGCCCCAAAGAATCTTGGTTTGCGTTGATTACTCTTAGCACCTACCTTTAGGCTCTCAGTCCCAGCTCTGCTCAGGAACGCTCAATTCTTTCCAGTCCACATATTTCAGTTTAAGAGACCATCCTTGTTTAGCAGCAGAGTAGCTAGGATTCCACCTCCAGGCTTGTGACTTAAGGCCCAAATTACTGCAGCTCTATAGACTTCTAAACGTGGGTGTTTGGTCATGGGCTGAGGGTCATAATAGCATAGACATAAAACCACATAGCAAGGGTGTGCCTAAGCAGTTTTCATACTGTTTTAAATATATCTGTTTGAGAGCAAGTCTAGTTACGTTATAGCAGTAACAATCAACTATCACCAGTATGAGTACAGCTATACCAGTATAAGTGGTACACCCATATAGCTTATTCCTGTAGGAATTCCTAGGAATTTACACTTCCAGGAATAATTTATGCTAATACAGAAGTGTTTTATGCCAGGATAAATGCAGCCACAATTCTCTAGAGGTTCTATTGCTTTTGCATCTTAGCAGAAGAGTCAGTCCTCTCTCACCAAAATACTATATTTTTCTCCCATTCCACATGCCCCTGAATGAGACTTTTGCCTTGTTTTTTGAAAAGGCAGAGTGAAGAAATAAGATTATTCCAGAGTTATGGCTTTATAAAAGTGAGACAGAACCTAATCTCCAGCTCATTCACCCTCCCTTTCCTGCTTAGCCAGAAGCTCTAAATCTTTAGTTGCTATTGAAGACTGGTCTTCATGGGTGGATCTAATAATTTGAAAAGCTAAAAAACAGTCTGTGAATAGGAGGAGAGAGCAGGAGTAGCACCACAGTTGGCACTGCCCCATGCGTTGCAGCTGTCCCAGGCATGGAGCCACTCTACTCTGCCTCTGACAACCTTTTCCTTTCTTTAATATGGTAGGGCATCAAGGAGAGATGTTCATAGGACTTATGGGCCGAAGATCCTCCAGCAGAGGTGGGTGCACTTGCACTTAATACTTCTCCCACATCTTCCCACTGCACATACTATACAACTCAGCAGCTATAATAGGTACAAGAACCTTGCTTACTGCTAACAGACACTTACTGATTTTGATGCTGTTTAGATGGCATTTATACCTATACATTTGTGGCTTAGTCCTCCCCACATCTGTATTACCATTTCACTGATTCTACTTTTCATCACAGAGTTTTCATTAAACACCTTTGCACATCACCTCCACTCCCTTCACCTGCAAAGCTTTCCTCTTAGCCATTTATCAAAACATACAAATGGCTTTTAACAGTTACATCGGAAGCAGTAATCAGCCAGATGAAACATAGTAGTGAACTTGGGAATTCCATCCTATTTTCTTACCAAAAAAAATTAAGCAGTTAAACAAAAGTTATCAATTCCCAAAGATCAGGACATGAGAAAAGGTTATTTCCCACTTTAAGGATGATATGTGGCTATAACCTAAAAATTAAGCATAACTATTGTACATCATTATCTGAGTCTTCATCCCTTTGCTTCCATGTTCCTCCAATAAAGAGATTCTTTATTTTCTATAGAGTGTTTCAAAGATGTAGCTTGTTATAGTTTTGGGAAGAGATCAATATTTACCTCACTATTTTCTGCCTTTGTACCCTATTTAATTCCGGAGCAGAAAACAAAGCTATTTGAGGCCCAGAGGCTTAGGGCAGTCTTTTCCTAACATCCGATGAAGTAAGCTACTGCTTATGAAATCTTATGGATCTCCAATTTAGTCAGTCTAAAAGGTGTAAATCTATCCTGCCTTCTGCCAGATGCTTAGTACAACATGCCAGGCACTATACAACTATATAGAGATTATCCTTGCCACAAGAGTTTTTAATTCCAATAGATAAGACCAATAATGGATAGGAAAAAAGGAATGCAGTTTTGCAGATGGGAAACTAAGCCTAGAGAGAAACTGTAACTTGCCCAAGGTGATAAAGCTACAGACTGAGCCCAGGTTTCCCAATGCCTAGTACCTAACTAAAGGCTATTCTTCTAATCAGAACCAAAGGACTGCCCACTGTAAGAGAAGATAATGGAATCCAAGTAATACATGCATTACATGAACTACTGCAGAAAGACTTTCTTCACATAGATTTCCCTCCTTCTGTTACAGAGACAACGCAAGACTGGGACAGCAGCCAGCCACGTCCTATGTGGGAGCCATAGCATGACACTTACTGTGACCAACTCCTGCTCCATTCCTTCACAAGCTCTAGCTTACAGTAATTATGCCTGCTCATTTCTACACACACCCTGAACATGCAACATCAGATGCATTATTATTAGGAGAGAAATACATTCATGCCACATGCCCACCTTCTCTTTTTCTCGAACTGCTGCCATGTATAAATGTATTGTTGTTGCTGTGGAGTCAGAGCTTTCATGTTTTTTTTTGGTGGGGGTGGAGCCAAAAATCAGATGAGCAGGCTGAGTTAGCATCTCTCTTCCCCCCGTGCCACCATAGACAACACAAGCTACCCCACCCCTGTGCACTCCTAGGGGCTGTTAACCCCAGATATCTTTATTTCCTCACCAAATCATTTTTCAGGATTTCTAGAATTTCTTCATGTAAATCTCAGGCTTTATCATTTATTAAAATTGGAACATAGGAAGGAAAAGCTCACTTTGCAGGCTTTTTAAATAATTCTGGTAATAACCTGATGTAGGGAGCCAGTTGTTACACAACTGCACCATTATTTTAACTCTTTGTAGCTCTTCACCTCCGTTTAGATGCATTATTTGAAAAGTGTCTACTGTGTGACTAGCACTATGCAGGCCACACAGGCAGCGTCCTTACAGCTGTCTATCTACAAAATTCAGTTAGCCCTTTGGATCAGACAAGACTGATCTTGTTCCGTGATGCTTGTTTTCTATGGCAGCAGCATTACACATCACTGGTGCAGGACGTTTCATTACTCTAAGGCTGGAGAAAGCAATGACAGCACAATTATTTGGCAGTGCACTAATCATCAAGGTCTTATATATTCTCCTTGCTGATCAAAGCTTTCCTCCTCAAACTCTTGCTTTCCTCTCCATGGATTAGCAGATGAAAAGCTACTGGTTCCCAATGGCAATACAGACTAAGTGCAGAGATGTTCATCCCAAGCAGAGTTGAAGGAACTCAACTCTACTTGCTCCCCACTGGGAGCGTCTATAGAGATGCAGCCAGCACACTTTGATTAGGTTCTAATTTGAGTCAGAAATTGTAGCAAAGGCTCAAAATCTTTGAGGTCTGTATTGAAATCCCCACACTTTTGATCTTCAAAAGACAAAGACTTCACTACCCCAAATTCTCACACAGTGCGGAAAGAAGCAGGCCTGGTCATGCAAGCACAGCAAGATCAAAGGCTAAATTTTAGGACCATCACTTCTTAGAGAAGTTCATTCCTTTTTTCAAGAACTTTGGGAGGGCAGCACCAGTCCTGATTTTATATTAAGTACATAAATTCCAAGTACAGTCTTTAGGCTTCTCCTCTGCCTGCCAGAATTATTTTGTTCTTCACACCAATATCCATTCCAGAATCAATTCTAAATGAAAAATATCCTGTATCATGTATTATCTATTATAGTTGACCCAAAGTCTGCTTCAGTCCTCACTACACCTGACAACATAAGGGCATCAAAATTAGTTTCTCTCTCTCTAGGATGGTAAAGACAACTGTGCTCAACTGCAAAAGCCAACATAACCCTCCCCCCTACAGAACAACAAAAAGGAAGGCATAAACTGAGCAGAGAACATGCTTTATTGAGAAGTAGATATACAGGAGTAGCACATTCTACCACATCAGGGAAACTGGGTTTAGCTTCTTTTCAAGAACAGCCTTCTTCCCTACCCCCACAAAAAAAAAATCCACCCAGCCAGATAGTTTCAAGAGCATTTGTCTTCAGCTACAATATAGGAGCCAAGGACATGTGACAACAATCCTCAGTAATGCCCAAAGAGACACAAATACATTGTACTGAGATAACATCTTTAAGGGGACAAAAAGAGGCACAGCCAACCATGAGAGGGACCAGAGAACTTCTCCACACTGGGAAGGATCAGTGGTTAATAAGAAATAGCCCCTACCTACCAGTACATTGTAAATGCTTTAGTTCAGACACTACTCAATGAAAAAAAAATCACTGAAAGGGTCTAACTGAAATGGGCACCATATTATGCTGCCATCACTCACCCCAAGCCTGTCCCCTCCCTATTAATCATATTGGAGAGACAGAAGACTTGTGGCTAGAGGACAGTGGTTATACTTGAAAGCCAGTTTGCAGAGGGTATTTTTTTTGGTGATGATGGTTAGGGAACAGGGGGGTAAAAAAGCATTTTTGTTCTACAAAGACAAACAGGGTGCACTTCAGAGAAGCAAACCATCCACACAGCTAGCTGGAGCTGCCATTAATGCACAAAATGTATGCCATAGGCAATCCAAAGACTGATGATACTGCATTGTACTTTCTGTGGCAGTTTGGACAAGGTTAACAAAAATCCTTCCAAAATTAATGTTTTATCATCTTAGTATATGGAAAGAAAAGATTTCAAAAAGAAAAGCTACCATTCAAGGAAAAACTCTTTTGGGGAGAATGTCTACATTGAAATGCACTAAACTGGTAATTTTTTGTGTGTAAAGGAAGCCATCAACTCCAGAAGAGGCTAAACAGATACCTGACTTGGGAAGACTGGGCAATTGACATGGTACTGTGCTAACCTGAATGGAGCTCACTGAGGGCCATTTTGTGAAAGCATATCAAATCCTGGTGCCTTACACTATTAATCTTGACTCCTGAATAACAACATTAATGGTAACAGATGGAAATTGTGAAAGCTTCAGAATGTACAGCACCATTTACAATTTGTTATTTTAAGTAAGACTGCTACATTAAGTGGGAAGCACTGCTTAAATAAGTGGCTTACTATCTCCTTGAAAATAATTGATACCTGGGACCGGGCAGTCTATCAGTCAGGTCTAGTTTAAAATGCTAACATGAGTGCAATGGCAACGTGCTGGTAAACCTGTTTGGATGCACTTACACATTTTTCCCAATCAAGCATTAGACCTTGTTCAAAGGCCACAGAAGTGGTCACGTTCATTACTCAGAGGGCAAGGAGCCTTCAGGAAGGAAGAGACAGATTATAGGACACAACACAACCTCATTGGAATAAGAACGTGAGGGTAGAACCAGTGACTGGACAGGTACAGTACCAGATATCAGAACTCCTTGGGCCAGTTTTGCTAGTAGCTTCATTTGGGTCCTATACAGATCCAATCCTTGCAACCTCATTGAGGCCGAAACATAAGTTCCTCAGAACCAGCGTCTGCGGTGTGCACAAAAGGTCTGAGCCAGAACAGTACCAAGGGGAACTGATCTTCCTGGAGGGTACTGTACCAGCCAATCACAACAGCAACAGATACAACAGAGATCCCTAGGGTATTTCCTACTGCTGGGGTTCACTGGCTTCGGGAGTAGCAGGTAGTTAAGTTCCCTTAGGAGGGGTCCATTTCAAACAGCTGGGATCCATTATCTTATTGCTGTTCGATCTTTTTGCCTCTTTGGCTATCCATTCATCAATCAGATCCTGAGGAAGAAAACATGAAAGGGCAGGTTAAACCAAAGTCTTCAATAAAAGAAAACAATCCATGGGATGACAAACATGCAAGTCCAGCACTCTGAACATAAACTGCCCACTGTCTGCTTAGCACCACCAGATGATGTCACCTCACTACATAAATAGAACAGTCCACATGGCTGTCTAGGAATCTCTGATAAACACAGATCAGGCTATCTTCAGCAGTAGGACAAGCCCTAGGAAGAAGGATACAAACAACAGCAGAGAAGGGAAATGACTAGCATTTGGGGATTTACAATCTACTTAAGATGATCAATGTGATTCTATGTTAGAAATAGCAGAGAAGAGTAAAAAACACTGCAGATTTCTATGCTAGTCAAGAACCAGCCTGGAAACTGACCTCAGACTTCATCAGGTACTGTGTTATCCTTCAGAATTAGAATATTCCCTTCTATAATCAACATGCAATAAAAGCCTACACGGAGGTCTATGGGATATTATAATATCAGAGACAGCTAAGCTGTAAGAAAGCAAAAAGACATGTCTGATCATCAGGAAAACAAAATAAAAACACACAGCAACCTTACCTGTCTCTTTAAGACCAGGTGTTTTCCCTTCCAGTACTTGAGCATCTGGAGTGCCTGCAGAGTGCTAACAATGTCAACAGGGTTCACTGCCGTTTCCTGGCTGATTTCTGCAAGACAGTAACACAATCTATTTGAAAGAGAAGCAAAAAAATCATCTTGGTATTCCTTTAAGACTGAAGCAGCCTATCACTGCTCAGTTAAGTGACAAGTTTTATACATAATCCCTCAATTATACTCACAAAATACTTCATGTACACCAATTTTTTAAGTTTAATACTAAAACTTATCTAGCAGGTTCAACATGGCCAACAATGATTATAGAGGCAGTGTATGTAGTAGTAAGGGCAGCTACTAGCCACCAGGAGTCCTTTTGTATCTGCTGTTGGCATACTTAAAGTCATATCACTTCCATACCTGTTTCCTCATCTGTGAAACAGGAATCTCTCTTACAGAGAGGCAGAGATGCGTAATTGGGAGGAAACTGCTGAAAGAACCTCAGATGCCAAAGGACTGGCAAGAACTCCAACAGATGTCTACATATTCTGAATATTTTAAGCGTGGAAACCTCTCTGCAATGAAACAGCTTTTGCATGCCACCTTCTGAACTAAGAAAATACTGATCACTTATGCTGGATAACGGAGCAATAAAAGGGTTGTATTCTGAATATATGGACATGAGTTACGCAGCAGTCCATGTATCTGCTGTATGCACATCTAGATGTGCATAGGTCCATAAGTGTAACACTTTGGCCAGTGTGTCTCACATTCAGTCTCAATCTTGCTCTTTATGGAGACATGTGTAGGAGCTATTTAGAATGACATTAACTTGAAACTGGAGCTTCAATCTAATTGCTCATTCTTTTTTTTTATAAATAAAAATGCATTTATTTAAGGATGCTTTATGAGTCTTCAAAACCAAGCCTAGGCTTAAAGATGGTTGTGGGCTCAGACAGCAGAGTAAAGCCCAACCAGTTGCATTCTAGACGTTACCACTTCCACTTCTAGCAACTTGCTTCTGAAGGAGAAAACTGACCAAACATCAGTTGCCACAGATTTGGGAAAGAGGGTAGAGAACAAGAGGCACCAAAACTTTTTGGACAAATTCGCTGCAAACTCATTTAGAACCAGACCTCACCTTTAATTGAGATCTCTTTGCCTTGGAAGTTATGCAGGTAACGAAGAAGAACTTCCTTCCAGTAACTACGGTAGCTGATAAGGCCCAAGTCAGACAGAGGGCGCTCTGGGGAGCCAACTTTCTCTTCCACTTTGGACAGCAAATAGCCTGTGAGGAAAACAACATAATTGCTCAAACACAATGAGATCTCCTTACATCTATCACTACTATACACTATTATAACAATAATGATGCCCCAAAAGCAACACAATAAGTATTATACCAGTTCACTAAGAATTAGACTCTTGGGGATAGCAAAAGTCTCCTGAACAATGCTCTTCCATGCACCACCGGAAAAAAACAGGTCCAAAATCCATTCTCATTGAAACAGATTAACTGCAGCCAGCTTGCTGATGTACAGATATTACGACATCCAGTGAATTTTGCTGACTTGACCTAATATCAGTCCCATCTGAGATATACTTGGAAAGAGCTACAAGAGGCAAACATGGAGATTTTGTTGGCCCATATTCTCTTCTAGGGGAGTGATACCACCTGCATCTGAACCATGCTATAGTGGTGCTAAGCCTTCCAGCCCTGCAAGCTGAATGAGGAACACAAGGCTGGTTCACAAGTGGGGTCAGTCTGTGGGCGAGATCCAGCATGCGGACCCAGTCAGATCCAGCTGCAGGCCAGCCTTGGCCTATCTCCAGACACTGGAACCAGTCATGGACCAACCCAGCACAAACTTGCACAAAGGGCTCTGTCATTTGGCTTGTGGTGCTCTCCACAGGCTGAAAAACTTGCCAGCAGGGGAGTTGCTGCAATTAATGCTGCCACCACTTCTCTGTCACCAGATTTCTAGACCTGTGGGTCAGATGATACAGCCCTGGGGGCTGGGGGTTGAGTATTACTGCTATAGACCCTTCCCTTGATCAGCTGTTTTTAATGTATTTGTTGAACAGACCTACCAGCAAATGTACGTGCAAAAGCTTGTGACAAAACTATTCTGGAAGCTTGGAAGACTGATGCAGTATGTGCAAGCTTTCCTTTAATTGATCATATCCTAGAGATTTGTGCGTCTCTGCTCCTGAAGGTCAGACAGAACATCTGACCTCCTGAAGACAGTATGCCTCAGTGCAGATGCTTTTGAAGGATTCTTCCATAATTTTCCCCCTATACTTACTAAAGTCAATGAGCATTTTGCCATAACCCTGCCTCATGTACTGAGGCATCGTCAGGATGCAAGATACATTGTAGTTGAGGAAAGAATTCTTCTCCTGGAAGCAAGAACATAGAGAAAGTCTATCAGATCCATACAAAAGATCCATGCAAGCAACAAGTATACCATGATCAGGGTACATTGACAACATGCAGTGAACTTCTTCCTGACACCAAAGTGGCTTCAAGTTTGTTTCTTTATTAGCCATTTAACAACAACATGGCCATGAAGGTATTCTAACAAAATATCTTACAGCTTTTTGTAATTTAGCTTTGCTTCCAGGAAGAGCTCATATTTTATGCCTGCCCTTTGAAGGTTGGGACTTGCACGTAGACATGAGAGTTCATGCCGATGACCTTAGTCTTAAAATCTATTCCAATGAAATGTTAGTATTGTATTTCAACTAACCTTGGAGAAATATCCTATCAGGTGACAGCCAGTGTTATCAGCTTCTGTCATGACATAGAAGAGAAAGGGTTCAACGTCATAGTAGAGAGTTTTGTGGTCCAAGAAAAGCTTCGCCAGCAGACACAGGTTTTGGCAGTAGATCTAGAAGCAAAGGGACAGTTACATGTTTGGGCTGTCAGGATGCAGCATCAATGAGAATCCCACTTTTGAAAGTATGGGAATTGCAATAAAATGAAGCACATCTGTTGTTAACACATTCTCAAAACTACATCACTGAGGCATAACAACAAATACCCAAATTCCCAGTTTATAAGTAAATTAGGCAGGTCCTCTGGGACAAATCATGGGTAGCCATTTCAGAGAAACCCTGCCACTAATCAAATCACAGCTGTATCTGCTAATGCTAGTGCCCTACTCCTCCCATTCAACAGTGGAGGCTCTAACCAGCAAGAAGCTAGCATACTCTATAGTCCTGTAATGCTATAATGATGTTTAGGGTAGTAGTGCTCAATCTCTGGCCCATGGGGTCACATTATCCAACCCATGGGCCATCCCCATGCCACTCATCCAATTTATGGGGCCAGAAGGTTGAGCATCACTGGTTTAGAGCATTCACAACTGAATAAAACCTGGACAGTGATGATCCACAGAGACCAGGCATGGAGGCTTCTTATTCATCTTCAGAAAGGGAGTCTGATCTACAACTCAAAGGCTACTCTGCCAATAATGGTACATAAACCAGAAGACAGGGGAGAAAACTGAACCGCCACCACAAGGAAGGTGCAGACAGACAATCGTCATCTGCACAATAATAAAATTGCCAGCACTGCAAGAAAGGACAGGACAAATTCTGGCACCCCTTTGGGTATCAAAGAGTACCATATCTCCTGCTTCCCCTCAGTACAAGGCACTGACATGTACAGTGCATGTGAGCAGTGATCTCCAGAATCGAGAGTGATCTATCATCACAATTAGTTACCTTGTTCTTTTTCCCATCTACTTCAAAAACTGATATGGAGCCTTTGCGGTAAATTTCATCACCTGGCGGATGTTTCCACACACATTTTGCCTGCAGGAGAATGATGTTAAAGTTACGGTCATATTACATCTCCATCAGATGTTCTGAGGACAGGTAGTGTATCAATAGCTACATGCAGAATAAATGCTCTTAGCAGAAACATTCAATCCTGCTCAACTACAATAAATTAGATTGCAAGCCTCGGCTTCTATTCCACAAGGGTCATCCAGCTAGCCCACAGATCAAGACAGTCATAAAAATGGTCTTCCTTTCAAAACTGCAAAGCCTTCTCAACTTAGGAGGGCAGGCTATCAGATGGACTACTGAAGCACACAGGCACTTTTGTCTTTTGAAATGACACCAACGTGAGTCCAATATCTGTCTCAGTAATTAGATAACTACCAACCAGGCCTTACCATATGCCTACGTAGTATTGTCTGGCTCTTCATGTACTTGAGACAGAACTCACACATGTAGAGACGCCCCAGTCTAGCATACTCCTCTGGATAGGGAGAATGGTACCAGGTATCCAACTCATAGCGGCCAAAGGCGATTGTTTTAATCATATTACTGCCTTCTGTGATCTGCCCCTGAAGCCGCAACTTTTCCTAAATAGAGGAAGAAGAAGGAGATTAATTAAACAGAAAAAACACACACATGCGTACACCCCACTTATTTTCCTGCTTCAGAATCTCTTTCAGAGACTCTACACAGAAGGAAGATCCCCAAGAAGTTTTTGTCAAGCTAGGCTAGGGGATGGAAAATATCTAAACATGCTTCTCGTACTTGGACCTAGAAGGTTCTGCAGACTTTTACACTAAATGAGCTTACACCAATTACATTCCATCCCTCAATAAGCATCCACTTTCTTCACCTTCTTTCAAACTCCAGTTTCCAAATCAGTTTAATCGGGGCACTACGCAGTTACCAAACTCTCCTTTCATCCAATAAGGTCTTCAGAATTGACCCAAGCAGGTGCAACTTGAATAGGAGCTGTAAAAGTAGTGTTCCAACAGTGGGGTCCTCTGCTTTACATCACCTATTTCAATGCAATATTTCTTCCTTGCCTACATGGAAAGGGGCATTTTTCATTGTGGTTGCTCATGTGCAGTTAGCTCCAAACCATCAGAATTGCTTCTGAGGTCAACTTTTGGGATGGGAGGGACAAGCCCTTAGCAATATACTGCTATACTGGCTTTCTCCTCAGGCCTGAAACAAATGTCTTGTCTTTGAAGTAGAGGTGCACTGATGAAGATTCTTTTGGCTGATACTGATGGTTGATTATTAACCAGGCATATTGGCCGATACCAACCCAGTAGCTGATATGCAGTCTAGCCAGTAAGTTTGGGGGGGG